GCTCCTGGCCAGAGCTGGTTGTACTGCCTAAAGGGGCGCCCATCCATAAGCAGCCTAGATCCATGCCTGGCTGTCAGGCTCAAGAAGATGAGCCATCTGTGCTGGTAATTTGGCGCCAAGGGAAAGTCCGGTTGGTGGTAAGCACTTGAGGATAACAGCCATGTAAAGTCATGGCTGGGGTGGCCATATTGTAGCTAAAATTGTGAGGTTGCAGAAACTCCGAGGAAGCATTTGAGGGGAGAGATGGGAACAGAGTATACATACGCAGGGAGAAGTGACAAAGCCTAAGAAAGGGAGAATCCACTGAGCTGCCTTTGTTCCTGTCCTCTCCCGGCTTTTTAGTTTATCCCATTTGTCATGAGGCTTCTCGCTTGCCGCAGAGTAAGAGTCCTTTCACCAATGCTCATCTTTTCTACATGGCTTAGTTTGAACATGTACTCGTGACCAAGAGTGTAAGGCAGAACAATGAAAATAGGAGGACTGCCAGAGGTCTCAGGGGAAGATGTTTCAACTTCCAAAAGGTGGAAATGATTAATTCTGGAATCTCACAGATGAGTAAGATTGACAGTAATTTTTGGAGAAATTCTAAATCAAACATCAAAAATAATTTGTCAGCAGATTATAACAAATGACCACTGGTTATCTATGAAAAAGTATGCTAAAACAACATAAATTTTTCTTTGTGACAGTGTGCTTAGAGAGGTAGATCTGAGGGCTCCATGGACACTCCCTCATGTCACCTCTGAGTGTGACAGAAAACTGTGAAAGAGTATGTAGATAGAGAGTGTGTGGTCTCATGGCTAAGAGCATCGGCCCAGAGTCCAGTGCCTAGTAGAAAGCCTGGCTTTGCCACCTATATAACCTTTGTGACTGTGGTCAACCTGTATTTGCCTCAGTCATCTCAACTGTCAAATGAGGATAATAATATTTCCTACATTACAGAGTTACTGTGAGAATTACCCAGCAAATAATAAGTGCTTGATAAAGATCAGATATTATTATTACCAAGTTGTTTGAATAGTGTTATCCCAAAAGTGTTCAATAATAGATCATTTTAACCAAAGAAACCTATCATTTTGGAGGATTTGGAACAGGTGCCATCTTATTTGACATTTTTATCAATCTTTGAAGAAGTAATAGGCCGATAGCCAATGGGTCTATATGCAAATGAATAATGCTCTACAGACCAGAGAATCAGGATACAGAGGAATCATGGTGTGAGAAAATTCTCAGGCAAAACAGTCAAATATAACTTACTAGGAAAAATATCCTATGTATGGCTATGAAGCCATTATAATTCATGTAAAAGTGACCTGAAGATTATAGGTCTTAATATAGTCCAACATTATGACTTGGCTAACAATAAACCCATTTAACCTCAGCTACAATACCAGAAATACATGACTCAGATAATACAGTCCCAGCATCCTTGGCCCTGGCCACGTTAGTTGGAGTGTTGCATTGGATAATCATGGGCCACATTTGAAAAGAAACTGACATACGAGAGAACATGCAGAGGAGGGTGTCCCATGAGAGCTGCCACATGAGGACCAGTTAGGGAAATGAAGGATGAAGATTGGAGAAAATAGGCCATGACTTATGCTGACTTCCTCGTGAGAACTAGAACAGTGAATGTAGGGACTTTAGACTTCAGTCTACACTCACTCTCTCCCCTTTGTGCCTCTTCACACTAAGGTCTCGTTCCTGCTCCCGTCCCTCAAACAGCGCTCTGCCCAGCGTCACACTGATCTCCAAGGAACACTTCTCAACCCTAACCTTTCTTGACCCCTTGGGAGCATCTCACCTTGTTGATCACTGTCACCTTCTCTTATACTCTCTTCCCTTACCTTCCATGACACAGTAGCCTCATAGTTTTCTTCTGTCCTCTTCTCACCACACACACGTTCCCTGTTGACCTAATACACGCTCTGGCTTTCTGTACATCTCGTGCTGATTCCACCCGGATCTATCACTTCTGTCTGCATATTCGATCACCTATTGGAAATCTCCTCTTTCATGTAGAGACTCAGACTCAAAATAAAAATGAAAAGGTGAAATCAAGTTGTAAAATACAGAAAGAATCCTTAAGGTCAACTTTCCATAATTGCCTGGGCAAATGGTCTTACTCCTTTAAGCAAATGACCTTTCCTCCCATTGAATATTTTATTTCCAAATCTGAACCATTTTGTTTTGCCCAGAGGACAAAATAATAAAGGATGGATTAGCTTCCCAATGGGATCTTTACCAACCTCCACCTCTCAGCAAGGTTGGGCACAATGTCCGACCAGGACCTAATCAAGTCCTTTTATAGTTTCAGTTTTAATAATTCAAAATAACTCGATTCTGGCTGCAGTAACAGTCACTCAATTGGGACTTGGCTAAGTCACTTGAAAAAGCCCTTTAACTAGAAGTTATTAAAATAATGAAAACTAGATTTTGCTTTTGTGGCTTTTTTCTTCTTAAATGGTTATTTGTGCTTTTAAAATTTCTACCATAGACCAGCCATTGTAGCAATTGCTCTGGTCTTGCCCCTTGGCTTACAGAGATGGAAAAAATGTCCTCCTCCTGGCAACAGTGTCATTCTTTGGAAGGCTTTGCCAAACTTCTGGTTCTCATTCTGTATTTTTACTGCTTTCACCATCAATGTTGCACAAGATAAATGGCATGGCTGTAACATCATCTATGAAGGGCCTCTAATTAGCTGCTCTGCAGTTGTTGGAACAAGTATCTTTTGAAACTTTTCGAACGCCTCCAATAACGATCTGATGGGCCTTCTTGTTACCATTCCACCTTCAAGTAAATCCAAAGAGGTGGGGTCCAGCCTTTCATCTCATTTCCTCCCCACTCTTTCTGCCAAAGCCTCCTTTAGAGTCCAGTTCAAAAGCTTCCTCCTCTCTGCAGCTTTCTCCATTGCGCTTTATCAAACCACTATTGCGGCGCCTGGCCTATGGTTATACATGCAACGCTCTGTAAGGCCATGAGTTCTATTTTGGTTTGTGCTCCAAGTGGTAGAATTGCACTGAATGTGTAGGACTTATACAAAAAGGCTAGTTTGGAATTCAGTTCTTTCTCATTAATTAATAGCTATCATTAGGCTGATGCTAAAATATGGCTGTGATATTCAATTTAACTTGAACTTATGGAACTCCTATAAGGTCCCAACTCTATAATTAGTGCCTGGGTTACAAACTTAGTAGGAAACAGCGCACACCTTCAAAAAGCTCATAGTTCAGTAGGGCATCTGGACACAATTGGTAAAAATAGGATATGACAAACTGCTGTGTTTGTGGTATGAACAAGGGGCTTTGAAAGCAACTTCTCCATTTTTTCTAAAGAATGAACACTATCTCACCATGTGAAGAAAAGGATATCTACTCCAGGTAAATGGAATGAGACAAGCGCACCTTTATTCAGCTTGTGAAGACCATCTGAACACGACATCAAGGAAAGTGGACTTGAAAACCACTGTCAAGTTCATGCTTGTAAGTTTGTTTTATGTTATGTCATATTTTCTTCGTATACTAGCAAAAAAACCTTTCTAATGGGTAAGTACTATGGCTTCTACTTTATAATATTGAACTTTTCTAAATATAAAGCAAGATTTTTTTTTTAACCCAAAAATTATCCCTCAAAAAAAAGGGAATTCATATATTCAGCCCTCACAAAGTCTCTCAAAGTACAGGAAGCTTTCTTTTCTTTATTTTGAAAAACAAAGGTGCTATTTGGAAAAGATATGTTAACCCCAAACAATTTCAACTGATGCTAGTTTTTTTTTAAAGAATTGGTAAAAAGAGGGTTAAGAAAATTTTACAAGGATAAAGTATTTTTTCCTGGGAATATGTCCTCAAAGGTTACAAGTGCTGGATGTTGAAAGTCTTTGTAAGCAAGACTTCTAAAAGTCACTGATCACCTTAGAAAGAAACACACTAAGTCATTGTGTTGAGGACAGGTAGGATGGAGGGAAAATGTCCTAATGTTATCAGAGCAGGTACTTGTCACTTCAGAAAAGATTTCTAGTGAAAATATCATATGTGGATTCAAAAGTATTATATATTAACAATGTAGGTGGATATAAAGATAATGTGTTAGATGACTCAAAAAGTGATTTTATTAATGATGAAAACTAGATGTCAAAATATATGTAAATAGTTTGAGTGAAATTGTTTTATGAAGTGTGAAAGTAGAAACCAATATTTCTAAATTAATACAATAGTTTATAGAATATATAATTTTATATATGAATGTATAATTACATTAATAAAGTAAGTAAACTAAGTAGCTTCCTAACTTTTCAATCTATGGCCCTAAAAAGTTGTATATGCAAGTTAACAACAAAGCTTTTGTAAGTAAAATATCTTCTTGTAAAAATAGCCGATTACCTTACATTTTGCGTTGCCTTATTTTTAGGCAACTTTTATTGCATAACACTGTGTGTGGAGAATTGAATAAATGTTACTTATTGTATTCATTATTGAATACAATTGGTGTTCATTATCGTAAGAAATAGAAACTTCCTACTACAAAAAGAAAAATTGACTGAAATGAACTTAAATTTAAAAATAAAGACAAGGATCAAAATCAGGATTCCTAGTATCAGGCAAATTAAGTATTTAAATGAAGCTATGTTACTCAGACATTTTATGATCTCTTATTTATGGAGAACAAACCTAAAAATAACCAACAAAACAATCGAAGTTATTCCTCTACTTCAGCATTATTTAAATAATGTGAGGTCAATCAGTCTAGAAGTTACACTGAAACCAAAAAACATAGATAGCTCTTTGTGTATATAATTTAGTAGATGAAATATCCTTAAATATTAAGATTATGCAGCAAAAGAGACATGAAATATACCTGTTCAAATACCATGGGTAGTTGACGTATTATAGATGTGTAGGGCAGGGTTAGGGACTCGGTTCCACAAAGCATAATGACTTCTAGCTTAGCTTGCCTAACTTGATTTGAAAATGCAGTGATTTATTTAGCTTCAGAATACATACCTCTAAATAGTCTGTGGAGCAGTCTGTGTGACTTTCCAATTCAAACGCCAAAAATGTGTA